TTTATCAGATATCTTTTAAGATGTGCCAGGATTTGAGCATATTTTTAAAGAAGTGAGTGACATCAGGCAAACCCATGGATCCCAATTAAGGAGTTTGTATGCATGGGAGAAGAGAGGCAAAGAAACAATATAGCATTAGAGGTAGGTACAGGATCCTGTAGCAGGCTAGTTATTATATCTGTTGCAAGTTGCAAGAAATTATGATACCTATCAGTTTTTTTAATTGAACTTAGTAACTGGAATCCTAGATTTACCTCTCTCTCTCTCTCTCTCTCTCTCTCTCTCTCTCTCTCTCTCTCTGTGTGTGTGTGTGTGTGTGTGTGTGTGTGTGTGTGCATGCAAGGTGTGTGTTTATTCATGTGGGGACCAGAGGTCCATCTTAGATGATGTCATTTCTTAGGTTCCATCCATTTTTAAAAATAGGGTCTTTCCACATGGGGAAGGGCCTAGGCCCTGCCCCTGATGAAATGACAGACTCTGGAGACCCCCCAAGGAGGGTCTACCCTCCCTGGAGAATGATGTGGGGATTGGGTGGGGGGTCTGGGGGAGGGCTGGTGGAGGGACAAGGGAGGAGGGGTGGGTGAGGGAGCTGGGATTGACATGTGAAGCATGCATGTTTGTAAGACATAATTTATTTTAATAAAAATTTAAAAAATAGGATCTTTCACTGTCCCTAGGACTCTTCAAGTAGGCTAGACTGGCTGGCCAGCCAGCCTCAGCATCCTCCTGACTCTGCATCTTCAGTGCTGGGATTACACGTGCGTACCTCCATGCCCTGCTTTATTTTATTTTATTTTATTTGAGAGGGTGGTTATGGCAAGCACTTCACTGGCTGAGCTATCTCCCTGGCTCTGAAGTCTTGTACACATTTTGAATGCTTTATTCCCCAACCCACAGAGTCCTAGGTGTCATTTGGGACTCCAGCTAAGGATGGCCCTGGGTAATCCCTGTGTAGGAATTGACTTTCGTTAGCTTTTCTTGCAGGACCCATTTGAACATTGCTAGGGAGACTAGATTTAGATATAAATAACCCAAAATTTAGTGTGTCTGAAAGGAGGTTGAGCGTGTTCTTATGATGAGCATAAATTCACTGGTGAATGCCCCATGAGGAGGGTCATGATCCAGTTCCAGACAGGGCATCTTCTCTTTCTTTCTCCTCTCTTCTCTCTTCTCTCTCCTCTCTCTCTGTCTCTCTCTCTGTCTCTCTCTGTCTCTCTCTCTCTGCCATTTTCCACTTCTTCTTTGCCTTCTTCCTCTCCTTCTCTCTTTCTCTTTTCTCTTTCCCTCTTAATACACCATGTTTTGTTTATACACAGCTTTAATTTATGTTTAGATACCAATGCCCAATGTTCTTGCTTTCAAAATACATTCTGGTGTTGTGGATGATGTGGAAAATAGTTTAGAGCCTCAGAATGTCCTGCTCTGGCCCTGGAGCTATTGCATGTTTTAATTCCTTTAGACATAGTTCTGCCTTTAAGTGCCACAGCAGCATTTGGGCAGATGGAACTCTTAGTGTGGTTTAGCATTTCGGTTCCACATCCTTTGTCATGATGCTTTGCTCCTGTCCAAAACAGCCAACTGGGTCAGAGCAGGGCTCCAGCCATGCTTTCCCTCATTCACCATTTATTAAGTGGCTGCTGGGCAAAACCAAAGGAGATATGATTCACACTAGGAGTTGGATCAGGCTTCAGACACCTCATGGTCTAGAATGGTGACAATGCCACCCTCCCCTTCCCCAAGTAGCTGTGGATTTCACCTGTGGCCACCAGGATAGCTAGAGGTGGGGTCTGGAACACAGTAGGGGGGACTTCCTTTGGATTCACTTCTGATTTTCTTTTATTTCAACCCCCTTTCTTTTAGGCAGGGTCCCCTTACCTAGCTGAAGCTGTCCTTAAACTCCCTACCCCGGCCTCCACTGTGCTGGAACTACAGGCTCAAACCACCATGCCTAGTTCCCTTCTGATTATCTTAAAGTGGAAGTGTCCATATGGAATCAACTCACTTTTAACACCCCTCTCCCATGGCTCATCTCCCTCTTAAGCACAGGAATGATGGTAGACCCCAAGGTCAGAGCTCGGCATAGGATACTGAGTTTTTCTTGACTGATTAATATATCAAGGTTTTCATTGTATTTGTCTTCAGTCTATGGAAGGTGTGATGGGTTAGTTTTATAATTCAACCTGGCTGGCTATGAGGTGCCTGGACTTGTGGTCAAATAATAATCTGAGTGTTTTTGGCTTTGTTTTTGGTGGTATTTCTGTAGAAGGTTAATTGTATTTGTTTGTTACTTATGAAAGACCCCTATCCAGGGCCCCCTAGGAAAAGAAAAGCAAGGCCAGGCAGTTACCTAATGAAAAAACCCAGACCAGGTGCCTTGCCCAGCTGGCAGGATGTCAAACAGGATCTGTGGTCACCAGAGCAGTCATGGGACCCGGATAATAATTGCTGAAGTGTGCCGGGGTCTTTCATAAAGTAATACCAGGAAACTTAGTCCATGGGAACTACCCCTGCCCCCAAGATGAGCCAATGAAATGCCTGTTACTTATGTAACCATTGAAACTCTATAAATATTGTGCTCCCTGCAAGCCCGGTATGCTCTGCACCCAAGTTGCAGCAGCATCCGCAGGCGCCTGTGTACTCAATAAATCACCTCTTGCATTTGCAGCCAGTGGTCTGGCCCCAGTTCTTGGGCAGAGGGTTCGGTTCAGTGCCCAGCGCTTTGATGCCGAGGTCTTTCACTTATTTACTTATTCATCTAAGACAGGGTCTAGCTAAGTTGCCTGGGCTAACTTTGAGGCCTAGGTTTAACTCTTTGTGGCCTAGGTTAGCCCCAAACTCATAACCTTCCCTCCTTGGTCTTCCAAATGCTGGAATTAGAGGCATACACCATTTTGTCCAGCTCTAATATTGACATTGAAAGCAGTGAGTGGACCTGGTAGAGCAGATGGCCCTCTCACATGTAGGTGGTCTTACTCACTCATCTGCGGGCATGAGGAGAGCATCAGGCTCACCCTTTCAGGAGCAGTGCGCATTCCTGGGCAGCTGCCCCCAGCTCGGGTGCCAGTTTGTCCCACCCCCTGCCTTTCGCTGAGTCTCCAGATGTCTGGTCTTTACATTGGAATGACACCATTGATTCTCATTTGAACTTAATTGAGAACTACCCTATCAGATTTCCTGGGTTTGCAGTTTGCTGGCTGATGACCTGGGCACTCGTCACTTTCCACAATTATGTAAGTCAACTCCTTAGAAGAAAGATTTTAAGCATGTACATTATTGGTTCTGTTTCTCAGAAGAACCCTGATTGTACAAAATAATGCAGTATTCCATTTATTCACCATATTTAGTCACGAGAAGAAGAACCACCTTAAGAAAAGGCCGTCAGCAAATGCTCACAGAGGTGGCATATGATTTGGGGAGGGTAGCCCTGAGAAATACATAAGGTTCCAGGAAGTATGTTCAGAGCCACTGACCTGTCTGTTCTCAGTATGGAAGTTGAGAAGAGAGGCCGGGGGCCAGGGTCCAGTTCAGCAGTAGAGGGCTTGCCTAATAGGCACGGGGCACCAGGTCTGATCTTCAGGGGAAAAAAAAGACAGAAATAGAACTCCGTTCTACCAGACCAAGAAGTGGGGCATATAGTGTCCAGCACTGTGTCTCAAGTGTTGGGGACAGTTAAGTGGCTGGTGTCAGGGTGTCCTAATCATTGTCACCAGTGACCTCAAAATCTCAGCAGTTTAATCCAATTAAGGGCCATTTCTTGTTCACTCACATTTTGTTCCCCGTGTTCTGGGAGGTGCCTGTTCTGCTCTGCATCTGGGCTGTGGTCATCAAGCTCTGAAAATGTGGCTAGTACAGCTAGCCCTGGACGTTTAAGTTTCCCTTTGTGCTCAGGAGTTTAGATTTAAGTAACTGCTGTGGCCAGAAGCTACCGAATTGAACAGAGCTGCCTAGAGCCCCATTCTTGTTAATCATGAGAAGGGGGGAGGGAGGAAGACAGAGGGATAGGCATGGGGAAGAGACAGGGGAGGGGGAGGGGAGATGAGAGGGAGAGGAGAGAGGGGAGGAAGGATGGGGAAAAGAATAGAGGGGAGGGGAGGAGAGATCTGCCGAGGAGGACATGGCCTAGATGTGAAGCAGACATTCTTCACTTGTTCCCACACTTGTTTTTTCTGGCTTAGCATCCAGCCACGTTCCCCAGAGTCAGTCTAGATGAGTGCTAAGAGGACAGAGGTTGGGGGTTTGATGCGAGTCTGGTGGAAGAGAGTGACAGCAGTCTGTAGTAATGGGCCACCTAGAGTGACACAGGCAGGTGCCACCTAAAGTCTGGGCTACTGGCCGCTGAGTCCGAGTCCTGTTGCTGGGTTCTGAGAGGACTCTGATCTGGGTAAAGGAAGTTGAAGTATGGAGGAACTGAACTGGGAATACAGCTTCAGCTGTATTGGAGTTGGAGAAAGACCAGGCGTGGATTTCCGGATCCAGCCAAGCAGAAAGAGCCCCCAGGGAGCTGCTGTGTATGGGTGTGTGTGGGTCACCACAGGCTCCTTATGCCTCCCTTCCCTCTGTAGAGATCCAAGATAGAAAGGCTCTTTGAGGGCAGTGGGCAGCCTGGAGGGAGGTGCAGTAGGGAAATCACAGGCGTTACCCGACAGTGGGCACAGCAGTGAGGAACCTACCATGAGTAACTACCATGAGAAACTCCCACTCATTTACCCCACCCCGACTCAGCAAGCACTTGCAGGATCATGGGGCAGGTAGAAAGCAGGGGATTCAGATGCTGTCAGTTCGACGGTGAGACATCTGACACCTTGAAAAGCCACACCACTTTAACTCTCGGCTATTTTTAAGCTAACAGGTGTATGAACCAGATCACGTCATCCCATCTGCCCAGCCATCCCCGGGACAAGTCTCGCCCCTCAGTGAGAATCGGGGATGGGATGGGAGATGGAATAAGGCAGGATGTGAGATTTTTCTGGGTTGAGGGGGGTGAGCCTAATCAGTCTTGCCACCAAGACTGCATCAAGGTGGCTGCCTGGAATGGCTGCTGGTGCCTGTCACTGTGTGGGCAGTTTTGTGGAAGAGGTGGCACCTAAGCTGGGCTTTGAAGGCAAGGTGAGATTTGACAGGTAGACATGGAGGGGAGGGCAGCCCGGGCAAAGGATGCAGGAGGAGTAAACTTGAAGGGAGGAGGCATGTGGGGGGGTGTGTGCCGGGTGGGCACAGGAGACCAACAGGTTAGGGACCGTGTGGAAGCTGGAGAAGTTGCAGCTAGATGGGCTGGCTGGGGCCAGATTAGGGAAGGTCTTGATTGCTCAGAGAGATTATTCTGAGGCAAGATGCTCGCTGAGGTGTTTCAAGCAAGGCATTGACTACTTCAGCTGTGCAGAGTTAAGGGCTGGCATGTGGAAAGCCCAGAAGTGTGAGATATGACGGGGCATTACTGAATAACCTGCCGAGAGGCTGGGCAATCTGGGCCAATATAGTGGCCAAGGGAATGGACAGGGCTGTGTGTGTGTGTGTGTGTGTGTGTGTGTGTGTGTGTGTATGTGCGCGCATGCACACACATATGTGTGGTGTATCTGTATGTGCATTTGTACACTTAAGTGAATGCATGTGTCTGTGTGCACTCGTGTGTGTGCATGTGTATGCACATGTTTCTCTGTGCACATGTTTGTGTGTGCATGTGTGAGCATTTGTACACTTAAGTGTCTGTGTCAACTTATGTGTGTGTGCATGTACATGCACATGTTTCTCTCTGTGTACATTTGTGTGTATAGATGTACGAGTATGTGTGCACTTGTTTATATGCAAGGGTCTTCGCATGTCCCTGTGTGTGAACACACGGGGGAAGCTGGAAAAGGCACTAGGTATGAAAGACCGTAGTGCAGGATTTAATTTAATAACTCAGCAGACTAGTCTTTATGTCTGCTCTGGACCTGCTCAGACATGCCTAGCTCTCAATTGTGCAGATGGGTCAGGAAGGGGCAGTCTTGTCACCATCTTTTTCTATCAGAAAATGCAAGGTGCCTGCTGCTGCCTTGGGGGCAGAGGTAGATATTATTGATTTCTTCTAAAACAGCAGCCTCCTTCTGAGAGACTGGCTGCAGATGGAAGTTGTATGATTCTTGGGCCAGGACAAAAGGTGCATCTCAGGTTGGTCCCCCTGAAAGCCTCCCTCAGGCCTGCAGAATTGAGAGGCTGGGGAGAGCCCAAACACAGCCTCAGTGCCAGCCTGCTGAACACACAGCAGGGAGCAGGGCAGGCTCCTGCCATGGCCTGCCTGGATGCCCCACCTGCAGCACAAGCCTTACAGAGCTGGTGTTAAAGCTATGTTACAGTCCCACCTGGGGTAGTTGTGCTTTTAAAGGGGTGCATGGTAGTTCAATGTGAGTCTATGACAGCACCCCATTTCTTTTTACTATTACCAGCTGGGGGCTTGGGAGGGAGATTTCTTTTCTCAGCCAAGACTTTCCGTCTGGAAACAGCATAATTTCAGCACAGAGTAATAGATTCCCCACATAGGACTGAGGAGATGACATTTCCCCATTGTGTGTGCTTCTGTAATGGTTACAAAATCTCTCATTCCCACCCTAGCTAAGAGCCCAATTAGAGAGAGAGAGAGAGAGGGAGAGAGTGAGGGAAAGGGAGAGGGAGAGAGAGAGGGAGAGGGAGAGGGAGGAGGGAGAGGGAGGAGGGAGAGAGAGGAGAGAGAGGGAGGAGGAAGAGGGAGGAGGGGGAGGGAGAAGGGACAGGGAGGAGGGAGAGGGAGAGGGAGAGAGAGAGAGAGAGAGAGAGAGAGAGAGAGAGAGAGAGAGAGAGAGAGAGAGAGAGAGAGAGAGATTGCCCAATTAGAGATTTCAAAGGGGGTCTTCAAAGTATTTGGCTTTCGGAATCTTGGTTCTTTGTGTGTATGTGCGTGTGTAGGATGGCAGGAAAAGGCAGTGTTATCTCCAAAGAGTTTATCTCCTTGTTCATTATATCATTACACACAGGGAGGCACTAACAGACTCTCCTGTGTTCCCTGCCTGCTTCCATGTGAAGGGGGGTTACAAATGTGGGGGTTGGGCTAGAGCAGCCGTTCTCAGCCCACGGATTGTGACTCCTTTGAGGGTCTATTGACCCTTTCACAGGGTTCCCATATCAGTTATTCTGCATATCAGAAATTTACATCACAGTTCATAACAGCAGCAAAATCACAGTTATGAAGTAGCAATAAATAACTCTATAGTTGGGGGCCACCACAACGCCAGGAACTGTAGTAAGGGGTTGCAGCATCAGGAAGGTTGAGATGCACTCCCAGGTACCTATCCCTAGACTTTCAATGATGCAGACCACCCAGTGCTCAGCAGGGGACACGCTGCCTCGTGACAATAAGCCTAGATCTCCACCAGTTCTCCCCAAGGACCTCTAGTGCCTCTCGGCCAAGGCTCCCTTCGTTTTCCACACCCGCTTCTCACCATGTGGCCTAGGAAAAAGCATGCAAATTGTGCTTTGACAGTTTACTCAACCCCAGCTCTGCCCTGCCTTGCTGAGAGACTTGCCCAGCCCCTCTCAGCTTCAGCAACTCCTCAGTAAAATGGGGGAACAATTGATGCTCAGTTCCAAGAGTTGCTTCAAAGGCCCGTGAGTCTCCTTGGGGCAAATGACCCTGGAAACTGTGGTCCAGTGAGGCCAGGACCCATCTCTGGTCTGCGAGAACGTGATGGACACCAGCTGGGTTTCACACCTAGGAGTTGTGGGCCATGGAACAAGTTATTTCAGCTATAGGCACTTCACTCTCTGCCTTTAAATAATGGGGGTAAGAATAGCACCTCGGGCGCAGGGTGGTGGGAGGACGGAGCGAGACAGTCGATGTGCAAGAACAAGAGCTAACACTCTCAGGGCACTTTGTACGTGGGAGGCGGGCTTCTACCACTTTCCACGTGGACCAAGTTGGCTAGGCAGACGGCCAACATTTGTTGTGAACTGAACCTATGGCCAGGGAGTTGGAACCAAATGGGGCAGAGGGCGGCGGGTTTGCTCTCAGTCTGCCCAAGTTATGCAGGAGGAGGTAAGATGACCAGATACCCTGTGAAGTGGGCTGCACACTTCGGGGGAGGGGCACACGCTGGTGAGGGGAGGGCCTGTTGTCTCTGAGAAGCTCCTAGGCCAGAAGGGATGGGGGCGGGGTAGCTTCTTCCATAGAGCTGGAAGCAGCTGTCAATCACCTGTGGGACTTGAGGCCCTGAGCAGGGAGACTAGACACAGCAGGGGTGAGATGAGGCTGTCTTTTGAGTGGAGTCTCCACTGAGAGGCAGGAGCATACATTTGAGAACTGTTTCCTTGGCTACAGTTTCCAGCACAGAGGCCCCTGCAAGGAGCTGCGGGCTGCCCGTGGCTTGCAGGTCCCAGGAAGAGCAGGTGGAAGTGCTCCTCTGCCAGGGCTAATGGACTGGGCCTCTCCAGCTACCCTCAGACAGACCTTTTATTGTGGGTCTCTCCTTCCCTTAACTTTCCCTCGCAGATCTGCATTCCAGAGCAGACTGGCACATGGATGGAGTCTGCAGGAGGCTGGGGGTGGGAGTTGGGGAGGGGGGTGTCCTGTCACAGATGCCCACGGAGAGCGGGGCGGATTAGAGCGAATCATTAATTGTCATTAATATGCTGGGGCTTGACAGCCTTGGGTTTATTTTTGCACTAAAGCCTAGACGTGCTTTGCACATGTCCCCAGGTCCCGGACTCTAGGGGAAGAGAAAATTGGGTGCAGTTAACATCTTCCAGGCTCTCTAGGGGTTTCCAGGACTGGTGAAAACCATGGCTTCTGGGGCCATTTGGTCTCCTTGGCTTTCTGCCCCACTACATCTTTACAGAACTGAGATCCATGACTGGTTAGCTTGTGTGCTAAGAACCTTGGAGGTGTGTGTGTGTGTGTGTCTGTGTCTCTGTGTCTGTGTGTGTCTGTGTCTCTGTGTCTGTGTGTGTGTCTGTGTGTGTGTGTCTCTGTGTCTGTGTATGTGTCTGTGTGTGTGTCTGTGTGTGTGTCTGTGTCTCTGTGTGTGTGTCTGTGTCTCTGTGTCTGTGTGTGTGTCTGTGTGTGTGTGTCTCTGTGTCTGTGTATGTGTCTGTGTGTGTGTCTCTGTGTCTGTGTATGTGTCTGTGTGTGTGTCTGTGTGTGTGTGTCTCTGTGTCTGTGTATGTGTCTGTGTGTGTGTCTGTGTGTGTGTCTGTGTCTCTGTGTGTGTGTCTGTGTCTCTGTGTCTGTGTGTGTCTCTGTGTGTGTGTGTCTCTGTGTCTGTGTATGTGTCTGTGTGTGTGTGTCTGTGTGTGTGTGTGTCTCTGTGTGTGTCTGTGTCTCTGTGTCTGTGTGTGTCTCTGTGTCTGTGTGTCTCTGTGTGTGTGTCTATGTGTGTGTCTCTGTGTGTGTGTATGTGTTTCTGTGTCTCTCTGTGTGTGTGGTGGCGGTGGTGGTGTGGGGTGGGGCAGTCCAGAAAGAGTATGAATGGTGTCGAGGGACAGGCCATTATGAGAAGGGTTAAAATGCTATCAAGAAAAGCGATGTGTCTGAAAGAACATGTTTACAGCAGGCCTTTTGTCCATGCTGCTTTCTAAAGGGCCTCATGGGTCTTGATAGGTTTCCGGGTCAACTTTCCTTTCAGAAAGCTGCTGAAAACCTGGATTGTTTTCTTGTGGTTGCCAGTTTCAGGTGGGTTGTTTGTGTGGAGGAAGGGTCTCATGTAGCTCAGGCCACTCTCAAATTCCCTGTATCATTGAGGATGTACTTGAACTCTAATCCTCATGCTTCCATCTCCCAAGTTCTGGGTTGCACCTTCAAGCCTGATTACAGGCTTGCCTGCAAGATCCATTCTGTAATTCTTACCTGAGGCCGACATCTCTGGCTAGAGGAGCTGACTGAGTGTTGCTGAGGGATCCGTGTTAGCCAAGGTTGTCCTGTGTGGTGACAACAGGTCCCACCAGGTCACTGAAGTCCATGGACCCATGAGGGTTGGTGCCCAACTTTCCCCTGTGTTGGCACCCATGAACGAACCACAGTCTGTGCAGTGGGAGCATCATGAACTGCTCTACTAACAGGGGCAGCAGGGACAGCCCTCCCAAGTGACGTAGACCCCGATGTC